TGAAAGGGAAAAGGATGCACGTGTACAAAAATATTTACAGCGACTCTTTTTGTGGTGGCAAAGAATTGGAAATTGAAGGGATGCCCATCAACTGGGGAATGGCTGAACAAGTTGTGGTATATGAATGTAATGGAATACTATTGTGCTATAAGAAATGATGAGGAGGCAGATTTCAGAAAAACCCGGAAAGACTTACCTGAACTGATGCAAAGTGAAGTGAGCAGAACCAGGAGACCATTGCACACAGTAACAGCAACATTGTGCAATGATCTACTACGATAGACTTAGCTCTTCTTAGCAATACAATGATCCAAGACAATTCCAAAAGACTCTTGATGGAAAATGCTAACTACATCCAGAGAAAGAACTATGGAGTCTGAATGCGTATTGAAACATACTATTTTTATTTTTTTTCTTTCTCGTGGTTTTTTCCTTTTGTTCTGACTCTTCTTTTACAACATGACTTATGTGAAAATATGTTTAACATGATTGTACGTGTATCACCTATATCAGATTACTTGCTGTCTTGGGGAAGGGAGGGGAAGGAAAGGGAGGGAGAAAACTTTGGAACTCAAAATTTTACAAAAATAAATGTTGAAAACTATCTTTACATGTAATTGGGAAAAAAAGAAAAAAGATGTTTTGGCAACATTAATTTAAAGAATATCTATATTTGGAGGAACAAAAGGTCAAGTATCTCAGAAAAAAAGTGGCAAGGGAGGACACCTAGAAGTACCAGGTCTGCAGCTATACTACAAAGCAGCAATCATCAAAATAACTCAGTACTGGTGAAGAAATAGATTTACCAGTGGAACAGATTCCACAATATATAGAAGCAAAGGACCAAAGTAACCTGGTGTCTGATAAGCCCAAAGTTCCCACCAATTAGAGCAAGAACCTATCATTTGACAGAAAGTGTTAGGAAAACTTGAAAGTTGTCTGGTAGAAACAAGGTCTAGATCAACATCTTACATGGGAAGATAAAGCTCCAAATGGGGCCAGGTCTTAGACATAAAGGATAACATCAGAAACAAATAAGAGGAGAAGGGAAGAAATTACCTGTCAGATTTATGGCTAGGGGAAGAGTTCTTGACTAAACAAAAGATAAAGAGGATCACAGAAAGTAAAACAGTTTTGATTACATAAAATTAAGAAGTTTTTGCACAGACAAAATCAATGCAGCTAGAACTAGAAGGGAAGGCAAATGGGAAAGATGTTGGAACAGATTTCGCTGATAAGAGACTCATTTCTAAGCTCTGTAACTTAGTAATTATAAGAATAGAGCCATTCCCTAGTTGATTAATGGTCACAGCACAAGAATAGGCAGTTTTCAAAGGAAGAAAGCCCAGATATCAAAAACAACATGAATATATGCTCCAAATCATTAACGATTAGAGAAACACATATTAAAGTAACTCTGAGCTTCCATCTCATACTTATCATATTGACAAAGATGACAAAAGAGGAAAATGACAAATGTTGAAGTGGGTATTAGAAAGCAAGAACACTAATGCACTGTTGGTGGAGCTGTTTTCATTCTGGAAAGCAAATTAGAACAATACCCTGAAGTCAGTGAACTGTGCATACCCTCTGAGCCAGAAATTTTACCACTAAGCCTATATACCAAAGAGAACAAAGAAGAAAAAGCACGCGTGCGTGCGCGCACACACACACACACACACACACACACAGACATTTTTGCAACAGCTCTTTTCATAGTAGCAAAAAGGTCTGGAAACTAAGGAAGTATCTACCTTGTGGGGAATGGCTACACAAATTATGTTATCAAAATGTAATATATTTTGGACTATAAGAAATGACAAGATAGACAGTTTCAGAGGAAAGTGGGAAGACTTCTATCAATTCAGGTAGAGTTTAATATAATTTATATGATGCCAACAAAACTACAAATAAAAACAATTTTGAAGGCCTTAAGGACTCTCATCATGTAAAGAAAAGCCATGATTCCAGGGGCCTGAAGATGAAGTAGACTACTCACCTACTCCCAGAGAGGTGATGGTTTGCATTTGCATTTTAAAATGAAAAGTAAACCATAGTTTCTGGACACAGCAAATGTGGGATTTTTTTTTTGTTTGACAATGCATATTTGTTGGGAGAGTTTCCTTTCTTTTCTTTTCTTTTTTTTTTTTGCATTCTTTCATTTTGGCAGGGGATGTGGAAGTGTAGGAGAGAGAAAATAAGTGCTTGTTAATTGGAAAATATAATAAAATTTAAATTTAAAAAGGCCATTGGACCAAAACTCCAAGATACAAGTGGGGGTGGGGGTGAGGTGGGGGAGAGTCCCTGTCTGTTAAACAGTCATTTGAGGAGTCACTGCTCCTAACCATGGTGTCAAGGCTCCACATATGTTTGAATCTCTTCCCAGCATTGTCTTCTGAACCCAAGGCGTTTTCATAGATTTAGAGAGGGGAGGGACCTTAAGAGAGTTTCTAGTCCAATCTCCTGAAAGAACCATAACTGGTTTAGCTATTCCTCAAACTACAGAGACCCACTTTGTTTATAAGTTTTTGTTACAGCAAAGTCCAAACCATCACGGGGGGGGTGGAGTGTAACAGTAAAGTAAGGCAATGACAGTCAGGATGTTGTATAGGTGAGAACTGACAGTGCCCTGAGAACATTTCAGAGGCTGTCGAGAGACAGACAGACAAACAGAGACAGAGAGAGAGACAGAGAGAGAGAATGGAGAGAGAGAGAGAGAGAGAGAGAGAGAGAGAGAGAGAGAGAGAGAAGAGAGAGAGAGAGAGAAGAGAGAGAGAGAAGAGAGAGAGAGAGAAGAGAGAGAGAGAGAAGAGAGAGAGAGGAGGAGAAAGAGAGAAAGAGAGGAGAGAGGAGAGAGAGGAGACCTGCAAAAGGCATTGGGAGATTGTATTGATATACAGTGGGTGTGTCCCATCAATGTCTATTACCCAACTAAAAGCAACAAAAAAGAAAACACATGGAATGGAGTGAAAAGGATGTCAGATATTCTGGATTCCCTTCATCAGCAAGTGAAAGTAAAAGCCAAAAGGTTAATGTAATACAAGGAGACAAAGCAGCACAAAGAACAAACAGAAAATTGGCTCATCGATAAAGTAATGAAAAGCAGTAACAGTCTCATCAAAGGAAGTGGCAAGAATTCTACTTCTCTACAAAACAAAAAGGTGCCAAGGCCTGATAAGATTCATATTTATGGGCTCAAATCCTTCACAGTACCAGCTAGAAAAGTTACCAGCAGAGCTCCTTGCCAGCTTCTTCTTAGGTGCAAGCTTGACCCCGCCATTTTTAAAGAAGGCATCACCTATGTGTTACTGAAAGAAGAGAATGCTAGTGATCCCTCCACATGTAGACCAATTACGTGTTTGTGTATAAGCATCACAGCTTATACTGCTCATGAAACCTATAAACACATATTGACGGAGAACAGAACAAGAGATGAAACAAAATGTCTAAGCGGGGGGGGGGAAGCCACTTATTATTATCAATTTGGACGATACTGAAAAAGGCTTACAGTTCCATAACATCCACCTTGCACTTGGTATCTCAAAGTCTTGAATTCAGTTCTGCACTCACGACTTGTTCACATACTACAAGATACACAAAACAAACCCAAGCAGAGTGAAGACACTAGTGTATTTGATATCTACATGAAGAAAGGATCTCTATTTAAAATGGCACCAATACCATGTCAAGAATAAATCATTTAAAACATGGTATTTTTCAGGACATAGTTTAAACCATTTATGATTTATGATTCTGCCTGATCTTAAACATGCCATCCATCCCAATAAGAACTGAATGCAGCCTCCAGATTAAAGAGGGAGCCAAACCAAACAAAAAAATCTTATTAATGATTTCATGTACATGGATGTCATCAAGTGAAATTTTTCCACAAACAACCATATTAAGCAGTTTCTTCATTCCACAGAATTGTTCTCTGATGATATCAAAATGTCATTCATGCTCAGGAAGTATACAATTCTTAATGTCTACCAAAGAAACAGACTGAAGAATGGGAGCCTGAATCAGAGTTCAAACTGAAAACTACGGATGAAACACAAATACCTTGATCTCTTCTAGATAAGACATATCAAGCGTAAAGCTATCAAAGGACAAATGTATCCAAATATATTAAGAAGCTTAAAGTCAAAGCTCAGCGGGAAGAACACATTCAAAGCAATGATTAACTATGCAGGAGGAGTCTTCTTGTATACTTTTCAGAATTATAAGATGTATCAAGACAGATTTACAAAGTAATCCGATAAAAATGTATACACAGTCTTAAAAAAACCCATAGACCTCATAACTCCAAGGTAATTGCAGACACATGAACACTTTGTTTTCAAAAAATAAGGCAGTTGATAGACATTCCCAAAACACATGAGAAACAAGTAAATCAAAACAAAACCTACCTACTTCTGGAGTACTTCTGGAATAAGGCAGCATTACTTACCAAGCAATGGTAAAGTCTGACAAGAAGAACACACCACTGATTTTCTTAAATACATCATTTTTTTAAATCTCCAGACAAAGCCTAAGAAGCAGCCTAGATCCCAGAGCAGAAGCCAACGGCCCTCCATGGGTGACATCCACATGGACTTGGCCAACAATACATTGACATAACAACATGAAACAATGCCTGCATAATGCTATTTTGTTTATGGAAATGGGGAAGGGAGAATGACATTTTATGCTGGCAATTCAGGACCAGATATTTGCCACCAGAAATTACAGAAAAGTTATCTTTCAGAAGGCTGGACTTACAAGAAATGGTAAAAAAACTGTAACACATCAGAGCAGGATGCCAAATTTGAACCCCTGCCAAGTGCCTAGCAAGACACGACCTAGTGGCTAGAATCATCCATCAGAAGTATGATGCTTTTCATGGACTGACAGCTGCCAAATCCCCACGCTACAAATACAGACCTCAGAATGGCCTGTCAACCAGTAAACTGTACTGACGCCAAAGCATTATCATAGACTAAACTGTTGCCCATAATTACCTGCATGTAACGTTCGTCTGCAACGACTGCAGAATAATCCTTTTAATAGGTAGCCAGCAGAGGAAATCAAAGTCATATGGTAATAGCATCAGGTCCAGCTCACGCCTGTTGCTGTGTGTGCTACTGGAACTGTCCCCAAGATCCTTTCCATGAGCCTACAGATGACCTCACATCCTGAGAGTTTTATTGAGCTATAAAAACAAACAAAAAACAGTGGTTTTATCCACTTGTGCAATTGTCCATAGAATAGCAAATATCAAATAATCACGGCAGGATAATGACTTGTCCTAGGAGTGTTTCTATCTGAATCCCATTGAAAAAGATGAAAAGAATAAGATGACAATAATAAGAAATAACAGCTCTGGTCTTTTTCTTAATCAAAATTTAATCTCATTGCTGGATAGCCATATCTCATTTGCATATAATTTACATTCATCTCTACAAATACATAGATATATAGATATAGATAGATTAGATAGATAGATAGATAGATATAGACATACATTTCTCTACCTATTTGTGATCAACATTGGGAATATTTTCTTATGCCACACACACAGTTGTGACACATTGGGAGGAATCCTAGAATTAATTTCAAAAGACCTGGGTTCAAATCCTGGATCTGATACTTAACTGGTTACATTTAAGTCACTTCTCCATTCTGAGCCTCAGATTTCTCTTCTGTACAATGGTGCTAATGGTTCTCATCATCTGTATGGGGAAAGCCATTTACAATCCTTAGCACCCCATAGACATGAGTTATTGGCACAGTATCAGATTCTGCTTGGTAACAGCCAAGCTTCCTCACCATTTTATGGGGATGGGGTTGTGTTCAGAGCCCTAGCCACTGGGCCCTCAGGTCACAGACATATTCTCAGTTTTCCTCATCTCCTCTGGCCACAGTAGGGGTCAGCCTCACAAAGGTGCCAGCCCCCTCCTGCAGCAAACATCAGCCTTTGATGTATTAAAAGGATGCTGCCAACTTCATGACACTGTAACCCTTCCATAAAGGAAGGGCAGAGCTGATTAACGAGTGCATAATTGGGGCCTGATTGATGGTTCTCCCCCTCACTGCTAAAGTCTGTATATATAATTATTTTGCCTTGGGGCCTAATTTTGTCACTGTTAGCTTCCACTTTTGCCATCAACTGAAATTTGTAGACAGGCCCTGCAGCCTCAAAAAAGGCTTCAAAATGGACTAACCCCAAGTGCCCAGATATGTTGCCCACAAATGGCCAGCAGCCTTTGCAGCCATTTCATGGCTTAACTAGGAAATGATACTTTGATTTGCCAGCCATCACAACAGCAATCTTGTTGGACATGGACTCCTGTGGCATCACCTACTGATTCCAAGGAGATTTTTGAATTCAACATAAATTTGTTATAAACCTATAAGCTACTGGTCCTTTTCCCAGTCAACTTTCTTCCCTGCCTCTACCATATGTCAAGCAAGTGAAGTCTTCAAGTCCTTTCTTGCAAAACTGCCATCAAGGCATAATTTCATCAAAGACATAAAATTTAAAAAAAAGAAACACCCATAAGCACCCCCTTCCACTAACCCAGATACTGTCCTGGAATTACAAAGAAACCAAAAAAAAGGTAAATAAATGAAATCAAACCATCATGACAAAATATTCCAACCTCCTCAAATCAATCACCCAGTATCTGTGTGCTGATTTTGTAAAAGACATTGGGCTGTGAGAAGGCATACATATAGAATCACAGCCATCTGAGCTAAACTCCGGCCATATCAATCCCTGGGTTTCAACCACATCTCATTAAGCCTCCAGCTCATTATACTCTTCCACAGCACAAGAGTGACTCACAAAACGTAGAGCAATTTTAATAACCAATCTGTTTGGGGACAATCCTTCAAGTTAGGTCAGGAAACTAGCTTTCTACTAGGAAGTGGAAAAAATGCTACTAAATCACCATTCAAAAGATTACAATTCTTGTAGTCTTATTAAAAGAAGACAGACTATTTTTATCTCCCAAGGGCTTTTTTTCCCCCTCCACTATAATAATAACTTTGATCCATATTTTGGTGACCCTCTTTTTTTCCAACACCGGAGAGGCAATGCTTCTAATATATGAGCCAAGATATACAAATGTGCCCTCTGAAATTCCCTTTGTTGGTTTCTCCTTACCGAAAGCTCACTGGCTTATGAATCATGGGATGATTTGAAGAGACTTTCAGTCAAAGCTCTGTAGTATGCCAGTGGGCACAGGCCAAGAGGAAAAAAAAAATAAAGATTGATATTTGCCCTCTCTTCTTATCTGCACTTGATTTATAAGTCAGGGGGAGTATGCAGGAGAAATAAAGGCAAAGACCTTGATGCCTCCCTGTGGAGAATATGCACCATTTGGATTGAAGGCATGAAAGAGGGGAAATTAATGGTAAGCTGTTCATCTGTCACGACTGCCAGCCTGATGGTTTTGCAGAGAAGGCGAGGACTGTGTGACATGCCCTCCAGTGAAGGGCAAGGCTGTCCGCTGTTCTCATATTAGAAACATAGTGCTTTTGATTGCAGAGGGATTTCAATTCAAATCAGACTCTGCGTTGGGAAGATGGATATTTACACAAGCCTACTGTATTTCCTTTAAGTAGAAACTTGTAGAATTGAGCTTGTTCCAGGCAGAAAGGGGGGAAAAAAAGAAGTTCATGAAGTAAAACCTCCTGCTTGCTAATGTGAGCCTGCAGTTGTCAGTGGAGATGGCTCCTGGAGAGGCACGCACAGCCAAGAGGGGTGGCCTCTTCGGAGGGCAGAAAGCACAGAAAGGGATGACAGAGGAAATCAGAAGCTGAAGGTGGCTCGTTTCCCCCAGCAGAACAGCTTGAAGAACTTGCTTAGCTGGAAGGACACAAAATCAGGCAGAAAAGTTTCACCTCATGGGGATGCTCAAGCAAGATCTCATTTCCTTATTATTGAAGCGATATGATTCCACCAAGGAATGCCAGGGTCCATTATATTAGCAGAAGTGTCTATCCTCAGAAAGAGAACATGGGGGGAGGGGCAGGGGATGGGGAAACGTCTACGTTAATGGCCGAAATTCAACATACATAAATCGCTTTGCAATTCTTAAAACATTACACAAATGTTTGCATCTCTTCGCCGATTTCCAAAGTCAGCCACATTCTTTTCAAAGGAGAGAGGGTTTTTGTTTGGTTTTCGTTTTCTCTGACACTTCGGCTTTTCAGTTGTCTTTCAGACTGAGTCAAGGTTTCTTTACAGTTGAACAAAGAGGAGGAAAAGAGGGTTACTGGCACTGCTTAAAGGAGCCAAGAGCAAAGAAAAGAGGTGGGTAGGGCAGGGACACACAAGTACCTTTGGATTTGGAAAAACTATTGGAACCCCCTACTACGTTCTAGTCAAGGAAATGTTGGTGGCAGAAATTAAGTGGACCTGGACACCGAAACCCACAGTTACTCTGGTTGCATTTTTTAAAAAATCCATGATATGTACAAAATATAACAGAAACTATATCTCAAAGCCTCTTTTCATTCAAAGCAATGGTAAATATTTGACTTCTGTTAGTCAAATATGAAGATCAGCTTTAGGCTTCACATAAACCAAAAGGTTCCATGGAAGCAAAAGCCAAGCTCTTGAATCTTTGATTTATGTTTATATAGAAATGTTCTTTTTTATCATCTGTAAAATGGGGGTGCTAGATTAAATGAGCTCTACAACCCTTGTCAGCTCTGACATCCTCTGTTCTAGGGACGCACACAGATCTGAAATGCTATGTTTTCAGGTCTCATAGCTTGAAGATTTTATATACCAAGATATCTTCCATATCAATCATTCTATTCTGAAGTTGGCTCTACCTCTGACACTGCAGGGGACAAGTCATTTCATCTGTCTGAGCCTCAGTTTACACATCTATACAATGGGGAGGTGAGAACAGGAAGGAGGCATCCTGTCACGCACCTCGAAGAGCCTGACAAACCTTAATGCTGGTGCTACGGCTTGGAAGGTCATGTCTAGCTTTGATATTCCAAGATTTGCTAACTTCTACCTTCGAGAAGGTAATACTTCCATTATGAATAGATTCACTGAAAATCGGGGCCACAGTAGTTCAGATCTCCTTGTCAGACACTTGACTTTCTCTGCTATCACCTGAAACTTATCCCCACAACGTGAAGCCTTTGGTCTCCATTTCCCAAATCTGGAAACGTCGTCTTCCACAGCAGTGACCCAGCCATCAACATTCACCAAGCCCCATTCTCTTAATGAACTATTTCCATCAGTTTCCCTCTAGACATCTCCATCTCTTTCTGTTTTCTTTCCTAGCTAATTTGGTCTTGTGCAGATACATTCATTGCCCTGGATACTAACTTGCCTAAAGCAGAGACTCAGCTATTTAGTTGGCACTATTTTACTTAAAAAAATCCCACAAACTGTCACCTCTTGATGCTGTATCTCTCTCCCAAATAACACATACAGTAGACCTGTAGTTACATACAGACTCAAAATGTTTTTTCTAAACCCAGAGCAGAGTCATTTGAACAGACTGGCACTGCCTAGAAATCCCACAGCCTTCAGATGTCTTCATGTAATTGTGGCCAATGGTAGGTTGGTGACTGTCACCGATTCTCCCCTCGTTCCTTTGCTCTGGCCCAGCAATTATCCTCCAGGCCCTGGAAAACACATCAGTAACTAGGTAAGTGGACAGATTCGATGCTTACCAGTTCTCAGAACTAGGCCACAGAAAGCTAGGAGAGCTACTTCTGCCAAATGGGTTAGAAGGCTACCAAAGTGGAGAGATTACCCTTCTAAATACCCGTGTAGCCCCTCCTGAGCTCCCACTCCCCAATGCTGATAAGAGGCAGCGTGTTCAGATTCAGGGAACTGGGGTCCCTTGTCTGCTTGTGCCCTTCACGTGTGGGAACTCTGGCAAGTCCATTCACTTCCCTCCACCTCAGTTTTCTCATCTGTCAAATGGGGGATTTCACTGATAATATCTTCCCTACGTCACCAGACTATTTCTTGGTCTGTTTTTTTTTTTTAATCCTTGGTCTGGACCTGTGACTTCATCCATAGAGGAATCTCCCAGAAAGGACATTCCCTCTTACCAATACAGATGTTCAAGAGTTGCCTGGGGATAGTGACAGGCTAAGTGATTTTCTCAGAGTCACACAACCAGTGCGTGTTAAAGG